ATTTTGTAAAAAAAAAAAGCAGCAATTACATATTTAAAAAAGAACATTTCTCGTATATAAAAAACATATACAAAAATACATAACTCTTGCAAAAAAAAATGCACAAATAAATTAGTTATTATTGGATAATAAGATTTGATGAGGATCATCATATGGATGTTTAAAATTGATATTAATAACATCCCATCATTAGCTATTTTTTTTAATGCAAGTAGAATCAAATTTGATTTGATGAGGAGAGTTAAGACAATGGATTACACCACCAAAAAAAAAAAGCTTAATAAATGGTGCCTAGAGAATAATATCATGAAGAGATAAACTAATATTGCCAAAATTAAAGATTAATAAGCAAATTGTCCACATGTCATGAAGGTAGTAAAATAGGGAATTGAAAGTTTATTTAGTCCTATCCAATCCGATGTTCTAACCAATATCAAACTGAGAAATAACATACACCTTGCCTTCTTTCAATTGAGACAAACACTTTTAAAGGAAAGTTTTCTTCATGATAGCATGAATATGTTCACCCTAAAATGTCACATATATGCATCAAATAATTCTCAAAATATAACAGAAAAAAAACAAAATAACAATAAGTAATAGAGAAATAGAAATAAAAAAGAAATTGCATCAAATAATTTTAATATGAATTCTAATCCTCCAATGGTTTCTAAGTGAGCCATCAATTTGCAATTTCATAATTTTATTTTTTTTAAGTTCAACAAAATGTTAGCAATTGTATTGAAAATACATGTCAGAGTGGTGTACAACACCAATTTAAAAAAAGAACCTCACTAAACAATCATATTCATTATATCATATTCATTATATCCACTACGTCTAACCAATTAACTATTATTCAAGTGTAAAGAGCCACAAAAGTTAAGGCTAGGAGAACTATTACTTAATAATAGTGAGTTTAACAATCTATTGAAATGAACTAAAACATATAACTGGAGTTAGAAGATGTGAAGTAAGATGCATCATGATAATAGTAAGAAACACTGAAATTTGTATATCTTCCAGAAGGTAGAAATGATAGAAATTGAAGAAGAAGATGATTATTTGGATTTATCTATTTCGAATCCACCTTGTAACCCATCATCGTCAACATCTGAACTACCCAAATTCTAATCCTCCAATTTTGTTTACATATATAAAAAAGATGCAGCATGATAATAGTAAGAGACAACTAAAATCTGGATACCTTTCTAGAAGTTAAAGATGATAGAAATCAGATAAGAAGATGATGATTGTGATTTTTCTCTCTTAAATCTACCTTGTAACTCATCATTGTCCACATGCGAATCACTTAAATTCTAATTCTCTAATAGTTTCAGAGTGAGTTGATAGTATGGACAACATCAAATCATGGAGCCATAACTTGCAGCACATAGCATGGTCAATTCTCCATAAATAATAAATTAAATCAAAATATGAATAGAGAAATAGAAACAAAAAAGAAGTTGCAAGAAACAAATGCACATGAGCACTCGAATGAGACCACAATTGATTTAAGTCTTGAGTAGCACGACTGGGATAATGGATAATTGATTTAAATAGAGGCTAATGTGAGTAACAATTAATTAAGATGGAAATGAACTCAAAAAAGTTAAAAAAAAAAATTCAAAAGAATGTTGTCCAATATTTCAGCAATTAAATTAGAGCATCAACATTATTACACCAAGGTCAGCTATTTTTGAATATGGATATTTATTCTTAAAAAAGTTACCAAATCAATTAAATTATTCTAAGGTAATATGAAATTTATAATAGTCCATCTTTGCATGCTACTTATTATTTAAGACACATTAATTTAAAAATTTCTATGATTGATTTGGCAGTTTTTTAAGATAAATATCCGTATTTAAAATATAGTTGACATCATTACAATAATATTGATTCTCTAATTTAATGCCAATTTATTTGAGTCGTGCAAATATTTTTGTGTATTTTTTATTTTTTGAATTCATTTCCATGAAATTTAATTGTTGATTTTGTGTTTTTTTTATGATATGAGTAGTTAATTTATTTTTATATGCTTTTTTTTTTTTGCATGTTTTTGGCATAGTGTGATTTTGTGTTTTGAATACTTATACTTATTCTAAAAAAACTGTCAAATCAATCAAATTATTTATGAGTTTAATGAAAAATTCAC